TACAATTTTCTGTACTCCAGCCCCTAGACCAAAATGAGCAGTTAGCGGGAGTAGCCCCATTACAAGGGTTAATTTGGTTATTCCTGGAGGTCATCTTTAAATCACCCCGATTACATCGATATTTTTCAGGCTCATCAACAAGCTTCCAGTGCAGTTGAATATCTTTTACAACTGATCTACAATTTGTGTATTCTACCTAATGAATAATCACGTAGAAGAATTGGTCATGGCTGTGGTGGTTAAGTTAAAATGGACATTATGGGTGGTGATATCTCGTGACCACCTGAGAGTTATAAGACAACAAGCATTAAAACCCAAGTAATCAATTTCGGGTGGAGTGATTATGTAATTGTCAATGTACTCACCTTATCACCTTTAGAGGCAAGGCCCCCACTTGTACTGGTACCAGAATCTCCTTTAGACCCAGCTTGACCTATGTTGCCCTTCTCGCCGCGCTCACCTCTGTCTCCTTTCTCACCTTTCTGTCCCGGTTTGCCTGTAACAAGAGCTTCAATGATTTTGGCTGTGACCCACTTACTGCAATGTATTTTAAAGGCAACCTGGACTGAGCAAGTATGTAGCCAGTTACAGCCGACCTTTCCTTCAAAAAAATGCTCATTCCCTGACCGTCATGCAGGTCCAATGGCTTCAGTGCTTTCTGAGTCTTAGAGACGTATTAGAAATCCTAATCTGACCTAAATGTTTGTCACAGGACAGCCACAAAAACAAAGAACTTTGCATCTTTTTAAACAGGTTTTGAATGAATCTTCTTCTGTTTAGCTGCTTTTCACTCTAGTATAATACAATAAGGTCAACCTCAGCACTCCAGCTGTTGTGGAACTACAAGTCCCATGAGGCATTGCATGGCTCCAACACCCACAGACACGGCTCCCAGAGGCAAAGGCATTATAGGACTTGTAGGATAAGGCTTTCAAACAAAGGCAATCTATGTCCTGCCCAGGCCAGTATTCCTTTCTCTAGCATCAATCTTAATGACACGAGTTGGCCAGCAGAGGTCCCCCTTACTGTGAAGCTGAATGGCTATTGCATGTAGCAGGAAAACTCCGTCGTATGCTACCTAAACTTTAGGTATCTTAATATAGAAAGGGGCATCCGGATCAGATAAGTAAGCCTAACTTTAAAATAAATACATTTACAACAAAATAAAATTTGTCAATTTTAAAACAGTGCCTTTACAATTCTGATACTGGGATTTTGCACGAAACAATGTATGCTTTCCGAACCTGAAATGTCGACCTCCTTTATAGTCTCTTCAACCTTTCCTATGACCTCAGGCTCATTTACCACAGATGGCCTCTGTATGGGGGGCACTGTGATAGGAACTAGTTCTAATACTGCTGGAGGTCGAGTCACCTGATTAAAAGAAAAGAAGCCATTAATAAAAAAAGCTCATGAGACATCAGAGAGGTGGGGGAGCAGAGGAGATCTCAACATCAGATAAACAAAATAAAGCTGGTCATACACTGCTGTCCTGCTGAAATTTGAGCAGTGCGTCACCCCCCTCAGCCCCTCCATTTGTCAAAAGTTGATTTTCTAATTGACTTTGTCAAAGGTGTTAATCTGAAAATTCTCAGCTGAACAGTGACTGCAGTCAATCAGCTGCGCAGGGCTGGAAAACAAAAAGGGACCAGAGCATGGTCAGCTTAAGTCAGAGGACGATCTATATCTATATTTGTTCTATGTTGGTTATTCCCATGCATCCATGACCATAAAAAAAAACATGCAACAATGTCCAATTATTGAATGGTTGCAAGTCAAAGTGGCTTTTATCTTGGTATCAACTTAAGTTTTGGACATTAGATTGTACTTTCCATAAATTTTCCTCTTATGATTATTATAATCTCTAAAACCCAACCAAATATTTTTATGCCATACAAAGGAATATAACATATAAAAAGGAACACTATAAAACACTATATCCATGTTACTCATCAACTAGTTAGATACAGCAATATGTGCCTTACCTCAACTTCTTCCTCTTCTGGAAGGCCACTGCCAAAGTCTCCAGATGCCTACAGCAATATTAAAAAGAAAAGAAAATTAGCAAAAGAAAGAGATTCAGCATCTAACAGTTTCAATACAGCAGCTTGTTGGCTCAGCAGCATCAAACTACCACTAGATGGTGCCAAGACATGTACTAAAAAAGATCCTAGGACATTCACTAGCAAGTTTCCTAAATACTTACCACCAGATGGCAGCAGTGTGTGATATGTAATATTTATCTATTTAAGAGATATATTTATCTCCTATATTTCAGCATCCCTTGTATCATTTTATTGGTTGTCAAAAGTCCCTAATTTCTAACTGAGGTTTAAAAACTTAAGGCACAGGTGCCATGCCATCAGGGGCACCTGGAAGATCAGCAGTCACATTTCTACTAAAGTATTTGCCATTTCTCATTAAAACACAACTGTATTAAAATGTGTTCAATATTATCTTGCCTGTAGTGTATTGAGTTTACCAGCCAAATGCTTATGTTTGAATGAGGAGGCCTTTGCGTTAATCCCTGATTTTTTTTTACACCTAAGGACAGTGTTAAGTCCATCATGAAGCCAATTTACAACTGATAATTCAGAAGCGCGTGTGCAGATGAAATTACCTTCTCACAGCTCAGACATAGCACAACTAATCCATGAAAGACAGAGGCAGGGATCACACTAAAACTTAATTCAATTTACTGTTCAGTACACGTTAAATACACACAGTAAATATGATCATGTTTTGTGTGTGCACTGGGTAATATAATACAAATTAAGTTTAACTTGCCATTAGCAGTACAATTATGAGTATAACATTTTTTAAATAAACTGTATGGCCACAGTGCACTAATGCTTTTAAATTGACACTTACAGGGTTATTCACAAAAGGGTGAAGAATAAGGTTAAATGTTAGGATCCTGTTAAAGATTAGGTTCTGGATTGGGAACTAATTCAACACTGACAGGGCTATTCACAGAAGGGTGAAGAGTTTGGAGAAGGCAGGAGAAGTGAACAATCTAGAACAACATAGCTGATTTGGAAAAATTCAGCTCACTTTCCAGTTCAGCTATGTTGTCCTAGATTGTTCCCAATCCAGAACCTAATCTTTAACAGGATCCTAACATTTAACCTTATTCTCACCAAAACTCCAATACTATCTTTATCTAAAATCTAAGGGCCTATTTGCACTAATGTGGTCTGGTGCTTTGTTTACTAAAGTGGGTTGCATTTATGTGGGTTGCATTAAGGCTGCCAATTTATTTTAATAGGCTAGCAAAGCAATAGACTGCACAAAAAATAGGACATGCACCATTTTTTGGAATGCAGCACATCACAACGTAATGTAGTGAATTACCATGCATTGCGGTGACCTGCAAAGCAGGTGCGCAGGGTTTCCATTAAGAATTAATGGAACTGCATAGAGCGTAATGTTACTTTACCAAACAGCAGCAGTGTGAAAAAGGAAAGTGAATTACATGATCTGCAAACCCAGAGGTGCCGAACATAGCAGAGGGGAAGGATAGGTGAGTATATGTTTCTATTGAGGCTGCTATTAAAGCATATGTAAAGGCAAAAAAAAACATATCTGTGGAATACATGCACATTTCCCCATGTTTAATCCCGTTACACACAGTGCCTGTGCAGAAAATAATTGCCGATATGCCAGAAATCTAGTGTGCCCCTACATTCCTCTTTGATATGACAACACAGTGTATTTTTGGCTCTGAATTCTAAAGAATGTGGCCTAAAGACCTCGGACCTGTTTTCATTTCCACCCCCTCTTCATCTCTATAACCTTTCCTTGTGCACAGGAAGTTATCAGCTCAGAGGATTTCACTAAGTAACAAGCTGGAAAGACTTTGTGTGCTGAGTAACAATGGGGTAAAATATCTGAAGATGCCAACAATGGTAAACTTACCCCATCAGAATCATCTCCTTCCTCTTCACATTGAAGTTCTGCAGCTCTCGGGTCACTCTTGACTTTTAACTCTGCTATTACACCCTAAAAAATATATGATAAATATTAGATCAAATTATCTTTGCATATAACATCACAGATGTAAAATGAATGCACAAAACATGTCTGATATAAACCTTGATAAAATCCCTCGGCAACATTAATTGCTACACACATTTTCAGACCTGCACTGGTAATGCCGGCATTTGTAGATATATGAAACTTTCATGAAATCCTAAGTACCAGGAGCTGGACAGACACGGCGGAAGGAAGGGGCGTAACTAGAAATCACAGGGCCCCATAGCAGGGCCCTGTGATTTCTAGTTATACCCCTTGCAGAGCCCACTTGAAATCCCACACAGCCCACCTGAGGGCGACCCTGCAGAGCCCACCATAGACACTCTATGGTGGGCTCTGCAGGGTCACCCTCAGGTGGGCTGGTCGCACTCTTTACCTGTCCGCCTCCTTTTCCTCCACTGTCGCTGATGGGCCCCGCCTCCTCCTCTGTCACCGGGCCCGCCTCCTTCTCCATCACCAGGCCGCACCTCCTCCCATGCTGCCGACCACGGGCCCCGCCTCCTCCTCCACTGCCGGGTCCAGCCTGCTCTACCGGCGCTGCTGGCTCTCATTGACTCTGTGGAGAGGAACGCGCTACTGCACAGATTACTGTCAGTGATCTGAACAGCAGCGCATTCTTCTTCAGAGCCGCCAGCAGAGGATGTCATAGCAACCCAGGCGGCCCGCACAGCATCTGGCCGGGCCCCACTGTGCCCCGGGCCCCATAGCGGCCGCCTGGGTCGCTATGGTGATTGTTACGCCACTGGCGGAAGGGTGTTGCACCATCCAACCAATTTTGCCACAACTGTGTGCGTTGCATCACCTGTCCTTGAGTAAAAAGTAGAAAGCCACCAGCACTCCAAGGATGCATTTCCTGTACACATTGGGTCACATAAGCGAAGATTGGTTGCTAAGCATTGTTAAAGGCAAAGACCACTTTGAGAAAAAATAAAGAAATGCACACTTCTTTAAAAAAAAAAGAAAAAAGGTGCATATATCTTTTTTTTTTTTGCATTGGTCCAGTAAAGCATTGCAACTGCGATCAGTAGATCACAGCTGCAATGCTCTGGCTCTTGCAAACTTTTCCTTCTGTCCATCTCTGTAGCTTGGGATTTCGCATTTGTTTTTGTTTTTTTACAGTGGTCTCACTAGTCGCATCTTTCATTAGAAACCCTTTCAATGTAACTATTATTTGGTGCATCCAAAAAATATATAGGGGGAGACTTGGCACTAGACATTTACATGCTTGATTTCTTACCCTTTTTTTTTTTACTGCTGATTGATAGCTATACATTATGTAAAAGGATTCATTTTAACCAAGGAAATATGAATTGCACACATTAACTTTAACAAAGTCTTTATGATCCCTTTCAAAAAGTTTGGAGTTGGGTGATACCCTTTATAGGCTAGGTTAAGTTAATAATACATTAATGAAGAAGGAACCTAATTAATTTTGAAAGCCTGCATCTTTTGGAAATCCAATACAGGGTATCACATAGACCTAATGAGTTCTGAAAGCTTGCATCTTTAGGAAAGCCAATAAAGGGCATCACTTAAACTCAAAACTTTCTGCATTAATCAATGGTGCAGTACAGCAAACTTGAACTATGAGCATACAAAATGCAATACTCAATTCTTAAATATATGGATTAGATGGCCCGAATGGCCAATATCCCAAGAATAACCCACAACAGTCACACCTTCCCCTTTCCTGCATGTCCCAATTCTACTATTAATCTGCCTCATTTCAAAATATTTCAGTACAAGATGATTTTCTATTTTAGTATTCATTTTTTACTTCTTTAATCAACATAATCCATTATTCATGCAGGAATGCAAGGCTGTCATTTGGAAATTATGAGGGAGCTGTAATTCATTTGATATACACAAGAGGGCAGCGTTCACATCTTGTTCACAGCTGAAGAATTGCAAGACAGTTCAGTAAGTGCGCTACACCTTACGTTGATTTTCTTGTACTGATAGGTGCATTGCCCTATTGAACATGACATATTATCCACCACAATTATTTATATAAAAATGACATGTATTTATTGCAAATAAGCTTTGATCATTGCCTGTCAGGATTGCCTGGGATTGGGCTATAAAAACGGTACAAGAGGCTAGCATTGCCAAAGTCCTTTCAAACATTGCCTGGCTATCATGCTGATCCAATGGCTTCAAATCTCCACTGGCTGTGTCTAATCTCCACTGGCTACAAGCGTGTATATTTCTAAATTAGGTTGCTGCACACTTGTTGCAAATTAGTACCGAAACCATAGACAGTCCGGCAGTTAGCTTTTTTAGAGGGAAATCTGCAATAAGCCTGCACATTCTTCTTCTGATGGGTTCTCTTTAAAGGGAACATTTCACAAAGATAAATACATCTGGGAAGTATGTCATATGCAGCATTTCGTAAATAATTTGCTGCATACTGAATACTGGACAGTATGAACCTATTTAGCTTCTTTACTATTGAATCAGTGTCTCAGGAACTATATCGCAGCCCAACAGCTACTTCCACCAAAGGCTTCTCACATAGGTGTTTTGCTTGATGACAGTCATCCCAGCCCCTGTTAAAATCAGAGGAACAGACATTTTTTGGTCGCAGAATATCGAACCCGATTATCGAACACTGCTAGCTCCTGGACTGGTTGGACGTGAATGATGATGTCTGAAGATCCCTATAGTTAAAACAACATCATTCTGTACTACTGCAAATGGCAGGATCAGGCGATGATTACATAATGCCTATGGGTACCTTTAATCAGGACATACAGATTTCATTTTAGACCCGATGTTTGCCGTTTAGTTAATCTGTAAACCTGTCTTCTTGCCAAAAGCGTGGATGTTTCTTTGCAGATTGTTAAGAAAATAAGGCTTAGCTCCAAATTCGGCTTGGACAACAAAGACAACAATGCGGCTGTTACACAAACACAGGATCCATCAATTAAATGCAGAGGTTCAAAAGGCAATCTGCTTAATATCCTGCAGTTATTACTTTGTAATAAAGATTCTAGATACAAAAAAATCAGAGGGGAAGTATAATGTATTTCTAGTAAGCACACATTTTATTTAGGACTCTTATTTACATAACTGCTCTTTTATACCTTTATTTTATTGTGTGGTATTAGACCCGTCCTTAATCCACCTCTCTGCTTACAACTATAAAGATAAGGCAGCAGTCACACAAGGAGTGCATTGTTCTTTAGCTGACTCATAGACTTGCATTGTGTAAAGGTGCAAAAGTGTAAAATGCCCAGGTGGGAACCATGCCCATAGGCAATCATTGGTTTTCACATGTTGAGCGTTTTACAGAGTGTAGGAACGCGCTGTAAAACGCCCAGGTGTGAACCAGGCCTAAGAGTGAAGGATTTACTCCATTCTAATCTCTATACACTTCCTTTTAAATATGGTAGAGCTGGCAATTCTACATCTGCCCTGTAACAGGTTCCTTAACTGGGTTAAAATGCAATGAGCATAGACTATCAACCCATAACCTCAGCTCAACAACTGAGCTGAATGGTGCGACAACACGCACAAAATCACAAAAATCACATTGTCAAATTGTGCTAAAAAGTGTGTCTTTAGGGCTCATTCACACCACATCCAGATCATCACTGACCCTTTAGTGGATTCTCCATAGAAATATATGAAGAATGTACACGAATGAGAACCAGGGGTTGCAGCAAGCCCTAGTAGTCATGGCCAACTGGGGGAAAAAGGATAAAACCTATCCACCAGGAGTCTGGATATTTGTATATACGCAAAAGGAGATCCAGTCGTGTCCACTGCAGCCAACTAAAAAAGCATAGAGTACAACTTTAAAGTGAAACCATCCCATCAACAAAAATGTAGCTTATTTGTGTATTACTCAGCTGTAGATTCTCAAATCATCTCTGAATTGGTGCTGACACTCTCCTTCCTTCTGGAGGGTGGCTACTTTTGTTTCCCATGGTCCCTGTGTGTGTTGTAAAGTAACCACCACTCCAAGCTCACTTCTGTACTAGACTACAATCTCACATTTAGTTTATGAATTTCTATTGAGATTGTAGTCATCACGGGAGCGAGCTTGTGGTGTGAGTGGTGTCTACATTACAACACACACAGGCACCATGGGAAACAAAAGTAGCCACCCTCCAGAAGGAAGCACGGTCCACAGCCGATTGATATACAAATGAGATACATTTTTGTTAAAGGAGAACTATGGGGTTAGGGCTTTTCCCCATAGTTCTCCTTAGGGTAACGGGAGGACACAAACTAGCGTCCGCCCATCACCCTAAGCTCAGTATACCGCAAACTACAGCTCGCAATATACTGAGAAGCGGCAGTATAGCTCGCGGTATACTGAGACACCGCAGCTGAAGCGGATCCCGACAATTATGTCTGGATCCGCCCAGCTGCGTGAGTGACAGCTGGCTCTGCCTATCTAGAGGCAGAGCCAGCTGTACCCGCCCCCTCCCCTGTCCGTTTGAATCCAGTCCCTCCCCTGTCACGGCAGAGAGCCATGACAGGATCGAGAAGTGAGCAAACGCAAGTATGTGTTTGCTCACTTCCCGATCTACTGAGCCGACCTGTGACAGTCTCATTGTCACAGGTCGGCTAGAACTATGAGGTGAGTGAAAAGCATAGTTCTCCTTTAATGGTTAGGGTACTTGAATGAGTTTTTACGTTTTACCTCCTGAGTTTAGTGTCACTTTCACAGTACAGGTTCCACATCACATAAATGCTGCAGCAGATTCTCCCATGTAGTGTTTACAAAAGGAGGAAATCACTTTCCTAATTGTAACAGAGTGGATTAGCGCATTAGATATATGTAAAACTATCCTTACTTAAAAGCTTTTTAAGTGACTTTTAAAACTACATCATTTATCTGAGGCTACTATGAGGGATTATTATGTTTCCTAAATCTATCAAGGCCGACAAATTTCATCCTTATTGCATCCACAAGGTTTGAATGTTGTTGCCGACCCTTTTTGTACTGCGAAGCTTGCCAGGGCAGGAACACTGACCTCTCTTATCCTGTTGGCAAGAACATCTCCCTTCATGGAGTCACACAGAACCATCCAACTTGTCATTCCTTCAGCTGTTCTACATCCCATGGCAAGCCTCCCCTCTGTACAGTAATCATCATTTATCACACACACATCCTTCCATTCTCAGTGCTCAATTTCCCCATTGTCTCAGCATCCCCTCAGTTTCCAGGGGAAGAAAACGCCCGCTTTGTTCACACACTGAATACAGCAGATTCCAAGCATATTACTCAGAACTGGTCTATGTACACCCCCAGGACAACAGTCTGAAGACCAACATAGCAGACACCAAAAAACAGAAAGCCAGTCAGTAGTAGAAAATGATGAGAGTGAAGAAGGAAAAAAAGAACTTTTAAGATTGCTGAGTATACAGATACTGTCTGTGGATGTCACTCTTCTCTGCCTGTGATCAAATACTCAGTAATTATGTCATTATCTTCCTGATGCATATCTGCTAAAGGACCGTCCCACCCAGACATTTCCAGTAAATGCCCTTTTTTTCTATAGATTAGATACATTTCTAAAAAAGTTATATACAGCGTGCAACATATATCAAATTTAAGGGTTCATTCACACAGCCGAAGAGGGCCGTACAGTACCAAGAAGGAGCATATTTACAGTATATGCCCGTAGTCAGAGGTCTTTGCATACAGCCACAGCCAGTAGCCTGTACAAATCAATGACATGCTGGAAGATGTCACGTAGGTATGCAAGTGGAGGATAAGTGGCCCTGGATGCAAGCTGTCTGCATCCATCACCCTTCCTTGTACACATATAACCTCTCAGATCTGCACACAGCCATGGCGTTTGTCTGTCTGTCATTGATTTGTACAGGCTGCTGGACACGACTGTATGCAATCACTTGTGACTCCCAGAAGCAGAGATACACCCCTCCCTGAGGTTGTATGACTCTCTGCGGCCGAGTGAATGGGCCCTAAATAGACATTTTACTTATTAAATCTTGAAGTGTACCTCTCGCCAATGTTGTCACCAGGACAGGAAGTGAGGGGAGATTTTGCCAACAGGAACACAATGACAACAAGAACACTTATAAATAGTAGGAAGGGGAAATGTAGAAATTCAACATTTGATTGTTTTCCGCACTGGAGATTATCCCTCACATCCTGCCACAGTGACAACATTGTAGCAGGACAGTAAGTAAAGGGAAATCTTCCCAATGTTTTTGCACAGACTGCAAATCAAATGCAACTGTTTCCTACTCTATACAAAGCTAAAGAAAACTTTGGGCAGGAAAAACATTTTCAATAAGCACAGGTGGCAAGCAATTCACCAGTGCCTCTCGGAAATTCTGCATGGTTTCCCAGTTCTTACTAGCTGCCAGTTGTCCAAGTTTATATGGGGTCACTGAGTAGTCTGCCAAGCATAGGCACCCATTATCCCCAGCCCGGGAAACAACAGCTTGCAGAGCTTACATGCAGCACTGCAGTTCCCTGACTGGGACTTGTGGCCAGCACATTCCTCCCTTATGAGACTTATTATTGATTTGTAAAGCAGCTGCATCAGTATGATTGGCTATTGATAGGTGTATACGGCAGGATGGGCCAAAGAACACAAAAGCTGCTCAGTATTTTTATTACAGAAAACCCCAGGTTTTAGGGTTCCAGCACTGCAGGTTATCAGTGGTTAAGCACACAGGTACCTGGAGTTGCTTGCCTTGACTGGTGCTTTTTAGTCCCGTACACTTTAACTACCTCATAGTCCATAAAACAGCACTGCATAAAACAGGCATCACATGCCTATTGAATGCCTGTGATTGAGCTGTCAGAAAGTTCACATCACAGGCAAAATGCACAGAGCCAATCAGAGCGGCTCTGTGCCTTGCGGTTGATGTGATGGCCGATCTACTACTAGTACTGTTTACATTCATTTCAGAGCCCTACCCTTCCTCTCACAAGGAAGGAGGATTGAATGAATAAATGAAGGGCTCATGGGCAACAGCAGATTCAAGGTGTGGGGTTTAATTTAATTGTAGATTTTTTTTTTTAACCCTCTTACCCACTCTCTACTTAGTGTGAGCTGTACATCATATCTCCATCATGGCTCTGACATGTACATTAACCCTCTAATTTCCTTCCTCCCACTGTAGGTGACCTGTACATTAATCCCTTTAGCTCTTTCTCCCCCTATGTGTGAGCTGTACATTAATGATGCACTCTATCTAGTGCTCAATTAAGCTCCATGTTTTAAACACCTATTCTAAACTAGCAAATGTTTTTACTGCCATAAAATTGTGACACAAAATATGAAAATCACCCCTTGGGGTGTGTGCCTTCCAAAAAAAAGGGGGTTTTGTACTGTCTTTGCATTATTATTTTGTATGATTTATAACAAAACGTGAGAAAAACAGTTCTTTCCTTTTATTTAGTGAAAATGTAAACACCCAGTGGTCAATACCACCAAAAGAAAGCTTGATATACTGTAAAGTTAACTTGGGTACAGTGTTGCACGACCGAGTAATTGTCAGTCAAACTATCACAGCACTGAAAAATGGCCTGGTAATGAAGAGGTATACACAGGCTGGTACTCAAGAGGTTAAATGCAAACAGCGCTCAGCAGTGTTCCCTGATATATGGTCATTGAAAAGAAGCTCTCATGGTTATCCCATTCCTACCACCCAACTATCATATGTGTAAGCATATAGCTATAATACTGAATATAGTATTAACACCTTATAATTAGCTTATTTTCTGCAGCACGTGATCATTTTACACATTGTAACAACATGACCATGCAGCAAGAATTTTTGGCTTTGCTACCAACAAATGAATAGCTCATAAACACCATGGCACAACCATGGATGCAATCTGACAAGTAATCTACCATACATAATTTTGCTGTTAATGGATGACCGCCTCATGACCTGATTCTGAAAAGCCTTTTACCTGATAGCGGTCGGGATCAGCCCCTCCAGCCTGAGCCACGAAAAGCCCAGATCCATCCTCCAACTCCATCTCATCAGGTGACCTTTCAAAACGGACTCTCTTCAGTTCATTACACTCCATGAACAGGGTAACCTCCTCTTCTTCCACACTGAGAGCAAAGCGCGTCCATTGGTTCGTCATTGCTGGGACAGTGAAGGTGGCAGCAGGGTAGGACACTGCTGATCCAGGCTCGGTGTAGAAAAAAATGATCTGTTGCTTGCCATCTTTGACTTCCGATAGCTTCACCCCAACGTACACAATAGACTGTGAAGCATCAGTGATGGAGAACAGCATTCCAGCCTTTTTAGTGGTAGGCTGTATGTGGAACAGAATAGAAAAGTCCCTAAACATGGGGCTTGGAAGGTGGTACTGTGCCACCTGTCCTGTGTTGGCATCTTCTCCAAATACATAGCCAGGGGTCTTGTCAGGGCCAAAGATTTTGGTGATCTGTTCTGGTGGTGGATCTCCAATGAGCTGCAGGAGGCCAACTTCTACATTCACCCGTTCTGTGAAAATACACAAAGAGGTAGAAGAGAGACCAGTTGTTAGAGAAGAATCTTTCTACTTCAGTTTATTTAAGCCACTGGCAATGTGCACACAATTTTTGTAACACGACAATAAATGTTTAAAACCAAACCACAAACACAGGTATACAACATCTACATTTTAACAATGAAAACAATCCCCCACATTTGATCAGCTGTTTATTGTCTGACAAACAAACAAAAAAAGAAATTAATGGATGAATCTACTTTTTTACTGGGAAATTTAATAAATAAGCCAAGGCAATGAAATTATCAACTAAATAGTACTCATTAACTGTCATGTTCCATTATGCTTATGGGTCATGTGCCCATGGGAAACATGCACACCTGAGAAACTCAGCTTCACACAAAGATGCCCTGTCTGTTCAAACACTCCATAGTCAACTGTAGTTAACTATAGACAGACTTCCATCGCAGCAGCCAAAATGTGCACATTTCCCACACATGCATGTGTAGACACAACAGTATTAATCAGACAATTAATACCATTTACAAGGTATAATACTACACGTTTCGGTTCTAGATTGATAAAATCTGTAACTTGGCAATAAAACATCTCACAATTTATAACACTACAGAATATAGAAGGTTACACTGTCACTGAAATATCTGGGACAATACAAAAACTCGCAGCTACAGACAATCCTGGGGGTTTAATTAAAGCTTGCATACCTACATTGGAACACCCTTGTTTATGAATACTAGGATTCAATAATACCCCTGTGAGTCTGTACTCAACCTTAAAGCCCCACTCCAGCCAAACTTTTTGGACAGAGTGGGGAATGAGTAGAACTCATATGAAGTTTTTTATTGTGATCTCTGTCCCCATGACAGCTCCGCTCACTCCCTCTCTGCCAGTGCCATCTTTGAGAAAGTGTTTCTCCATGGCCAGCATCTTCCTTCTTCGTTCATGGGGGGGCAGTGACAATGCAAAACCTACACATGCGTTATGAAGTTGCACGATCTTGGCACTTGGGGATGTAAACTGCACTGTGCATACAGGGAAAAAAAATTACGGTAAAAAGTGAAATTATTTTGGCAGAAGAGATATGGAAACTTCCACCAGAAAACATGGACCACTAGCCAATTTGTTTTCAGGCTACAATTCTGCTTTAAATTAGTATTATTTGGCTATTGGTCTACTAATAAGCTTTACTATGCTAGAGAGGTCTTCCCAGAGCACCTCTCTCTCCTGATTGTGCTACCTAGAACATGTTTGAATCGTGGGGGAGGGGCATTTCAAGAATAACTGTCCTAAAAAGAGTCATGCTTTAACTTATTTTCATGTTACAAATCTTTAAATTTAGAGCTATGACTCTTTTGCTATGGTCATATAAAACTTAGACTTATTTCATCAGGCTGTCGAAGATGCCCAATACAAACTTATCATGTACAACCATTGATCAGTCTGAAGAGTGAAAGATAATTGTCGCTTGGTTGCTGTGAGTTACAAAGCTTTGCACGGTACTCTTTGCCTTAATAAGTAAGTCCATGTGTCTGGCAACTTTATTATACGGGCAGCCCCCAGCTAACAAAATGACAGAGCACAACTGTTATAAATTAGACATTTGTAGCCATGAATGTATGTCTTCTAGAGTATTTAAATATGTTCTCAGTTTGGTATAGTGTCTCAAGCAATGCTAATCAGGAATGACAATGGCAGCAGAAAAATATCAACAGATGCTTTTTTCCCAGTACGATTTTTCCTCGATTTCTTTCCATTTGTCCCAGGAGATATGCCATTTATGGGGTCTTCATGGGAAAATTCCCTAGCAAGTGGAACAGCTGACGCTTTAGGGCTCTTAGAACTCAACGCAACTTAAGTTGTGTATAAAGAGCCTTTTACTCAGGCAGATGTGCTTTTTATGGTACATCTGCAGCTAATCGTAATATGCTCTCTGTAATCAATTAGTAATTTACTAATCACTGCCAGCTCAACCAATACTTGCTTCTTCTCATAAAATCAATGTCATGCCAATTAGCTAAAAGAGTAGGTTCACCCAGAACTCATGTTTCAGTTCAGAATAGAGGCTAGTGTGGTGAGCTCATTGGGTCTCCATGGGTATGAACTTGCACACTAATTTGCCTGTGAGGTAGATTCCTACTCACCCCTAACCTGGGTTTTCCATTTATGTGCAGCTTGAGGAGTGAAGCTACCTTATAGAGCAGTGAAACTCCATAGTGGCTAAGAGTTGTGACTTCAGCAAGAAGGTCTCAAAGTCCTCTGAAGTCCTCTAAACAACTGTAAAGTTGGTAGGTGATTTTGCACATGCTAAGTTCCAGTCAGTCTACCCATGAGTAAAATTAAATTTTAAGGTGGAGTGACCTAATCCAGACAGAAGGGTCTTGAGTTTCAAATAACATGACTATTTTCTGAACACCATTGCTCCAGAGCCCTCTACTTCCTCTAGTGACCTCTTGTCATCGTTGTATACCATGCCAACAGCATAGGGAAGAGATTATGAGAGGAACTTCAACATACATAAACAACAGAAATAACCTTATTTTCAATTGGGATGGTTCTCACCAATGAGGTCCTTTGCAGTGCTCTGAAGAAGAGCACACTTTGTGATTAATCACCAATGGAAATGAAATTGTTCAGTATTAAATAAATCTAAAGCACATATGCCAATGTAACCTTTACATCGGGTTACAAAAATAAATACTCAAGCTGCCCCACCCTCTACTCACAAACAAAATGCATAGGTCTACAGTCTTCCCAACTTTGAATCCTTACAACCTATCACTGCAATGGGTAGCCGCACTCACCAACAGGAGTCTGGAGGTGGTACAGACGAGCTCCGAACCAGGGCGGCTGGGTCGATACTTACATACCAAATCACCACAAGATATGGGGCACCCAGGCCACTGATTGGGACAACTGTCCTGACATGCATGCACTTCAACATTTTGGTGCCAGTAAAGCTTTGGGTAGTTGTTCATTTCAATTGTGGGATAGTTGCATAAAAATGAGAAAAGAAAGTCCCTTACAAAAGTGTTCATAGTAACCAATCATCTATTATTTTTTATTCCCTGTGAAAATAAAATATCTGTCTGATATTGGAAAAATGTGTTTTTTTTTACTCAGATTTGCATCCTTTTTATTGACTCTTGTAAACAGAGACCAACATAAATGTTTTATTACTCAATCAAGACAGTACTACCAATAATTCAGGACGTATGCTAAGCAGCACAGAGCATGACTTCTTCAAACTATACCCTCTGCTGGATAACAGATCACACAGTATGTCCATTTACATGACTGAAATAGTATAGTGAAGGAAAACATCTGGATCTGGAACAGGTTCGTGTTGACAGCTCAAGCAGTAAGTAAATCAAGCACATTACCCCATCTTCCTCACATACCATCTATATGTACTCCTATACTTTCCCACAAGATAAATTGAAGAGATTTCACATCTTAAATCACAGTACTAGAAAATATATTCTACGTTGAGGAATTATTTTCACTGTTTATTTTCTCTATATACAACACACCAATGTTGAAATATAGCTCTATGTTGACAGAATTGTAGTAAATTTAAATTATTCTTAGAAGTTTGCAAAGAACAAAGAAAGAAAGTATCTTTAAGTTATGAAATGTGCCTAGTGCACAGTTTGGTGCAAACCTAAACCAAATGTACTTTCAAATATTTAAAAGCTAGCTATACTCCAAACTGATATTTTGTATTGAATCAACTGCCACCTTCATACATTTAGCAGGGACTCCACTAGCATTGGTCTCTCTGCACCTTTCTTCCACCCCTAGCAAAGGACACTATAAGGGCCTATGTCCACTGGCTTTTATTCACATCTGGCACATCATCTCAGGGGAAAAAAATGCCTTTCTCAGAGTTCTTGTGAGATTACAGATGAGATTTCCCAGCTATGCACTGCTGCTATAACCTTCCCAGGAGGCAAAGCTTGGGCATATTACATCGCTATTGCCCAAGAAGTCCAGGAAGTGGAAACAATCATTTTAAGTAAAAGAAAAATATATTCAACTAACGAATGTAAGATGATTTCAGATCAGTATGCAGAGCTGCATACTGATATGATTTTTAGTTAAGGTCCGTTTTAAAGCCCAGCTGTATGATAAATTTCACCCAGCCCTTCCTCCTACGTCCCAATAATAGCTGGATTTTTTTTGTTTTTAAATCACATCTAAAAACCCTTTTTTTTAAACTTTATCCTTAACCTGCGGTCACATGATGCCACAGCCCAGAGCCTTCTCATTTTTTTTATTTATTTCCTGCTTGGGTCCTTTTTTGAGTATCCACGATGGCACAAGTGGACACTTCCTATTGGGTGCCAATTGGTCAGGGTCCTCTCAGGATCCAGAAAAGGACCGATGTCAGCGGAAGGCAGTGAAGTGGCCCAACGGCAGCAATAATCTAGAGATCACCTCACAGAGTAATCAAGTGCCAATCTGCTAATACCTGTGCTGTGTAACCTCCTCTCTCTTTGCTTACTATATGACCAACCAAAACTTCCATGGCAGCTTTAAGCCTAATTAGCGACTGTGATAAACTACTTGCAATTGATATTTGTTCACATTAGGCTTTCTGTGCAGGAGAAACAGCAAGGGGCCTGTGGTGGGTGTGTTTGGGAATAGTTCTCCTGCATCATAAGAGGGGGTTCTCAGATGACCAGATGGTGAGATGAGATAGACAGCAATGCGAGAAATAAAATACAGAACAGGTGAGTTGTGTTCACTGTATGCATTTCAAGTGTTAAGTCCAAATTTTGCTGTTTACTGTTAATTTACCTTTGACATCAAAGTAAATTACAAAAATGTGGCTATGGCAACATGTTATGCTGTTATCAAGAGCGCAAAGTGGTCTGATTTGATTAACCCACCATGTAACCCTATAGAACGTCACCATCAGTAGCAATCGCTCATGAAAATGCATATAACTAGATTTTAGGATGTTGCATTCATAAAAAATGAAATATAGGAA